TGTATTGGTCCAAGAATGGTGGTCAACCCTAAAAAACTAATCCTAACCCTAATCCCAACCCTAACCTAATCCTAACTCTATCTCTGATACCATATAAAAAGTTAAGAAAGAAAAAATACTAAATAATTCTTATGTCTTTATTGAAATAAAAGTTGAGATATATATACATGTAAACGGATTCATATATGGTAACCAACATAAATTACCTTAATTATTTTCTTCCTAATTACGGTTATATATTTGTAAAGATAATCATATTATTATGTATAAGCAATATTCTATAATATTCTAATATATCCAAAATGATGAAATAAAGTACTCTATCTCACTCCATTATGATGACGCCACCTGCAAAGTCACTAGAACCTAACTTTGCTTGTTAAAGTCATAATTTGCCATCTTCACTCATTGTAGCAAGATTTCACATTCAATTCTTGTTGTTGCCAAATAAGCAGTTTGGAAAACCAGTTGAATGGACAACTAAATTTAAAACATTGGAGATGAAGATCTAACTCCAGAACAGCATGAAACTTCAAACAAAGGGGAAAGAAAGGGATGCAAAAAATTAACCAGACCTAAACCCCAAATCAAGCTTCAATGATTCCCAGCTCCTAACAAAGATGATGCAAACAAAGCCATTCAATCAAACAAGACAAGTGGATGGATCAACAACAAAATTGAAACCACTACATTTCGGAAAACCATGAAATGATCTCCCAATATCAAAAACGATACATGGAAGAAGCCTCACTAGTGATAATTTAAAGAAAGAGTCAAGATTTGGTTTTAATGGATGCTCATAGAGGGCAGGTGAGAGTCCAAATCATTTTTTGCTGTGTTAACCTTTAGTTTCTCACTTGGGTGTGTTGCACTTAAGTTCCTTGTCTTGAGTTGGGTGATGGCTGAACTAGTAGCGGGCAAGACTTGCGCTTGGCAGGGTATCCAAAGCGGTAAGATAAAAGAAGCTTATCTCTCTCATTCCTTTAGCTATGCTGCTGGTTATTTCGAAGAAATTTAATCATAGAGCCTTTGATGACAGTTATTATTCTTTTGATAGAGTTAGGAACTTTTGGTTTTAGAACTTATACTTATTTGTTTAAAGATCATCCTCTTTTGTATGATGAGGACGGACCTCAGGAAGCTTATAGACATTTTAACGTATTTGAAATTTTCCTTCTGTTTACAGGTGACATCCCCTGGGTGCCTTGTCAATAATATTGCTTTCCTTTTTGTCTCAAAAAATATATATATTGATACATAACTAAACATATTAGTCAAGACTCGAGAAATTTAAAGCCTAATCTATAAGGAGTTCCATTAACAATGGGACTACAGAAATGGATTTACTGTTGCATTGAATTGTTCTCAACTTCAAGAAAAAAGAAAATCATGCTCTTAAAATAAAAAGGCGTAACAGATGATCGGAACAAAAGATAGAAGAAAATAAAACACAAACATCAAGACTCAAGAGAACATTAGAATTAGAAAAAAATAAAAAAGTATTAAAATGTAAGTCCAAAATTTGTAGACTTCCGGGATTTAGAAGTGGAACAATCACTGGAAGAAATTACAAGATAAAAAACCAGAAATCAAGGCAATGAAATCAAGAAACAAAAATGCATGAGCCAAGTGCTATCCTAATCAACGAGAAGCAGAAGATTGTTTCACCAATTACCAATATTGCAACAACAGAAGAAAACCAATTTATAAACCTAAAAGTGCAGGAGACATTGCGTTTCAGATGATCACTCTAATTATTTAGAATCACTTGCCAAAAAATCAAGCAGTACAAAGAGTCAACCCGATAAACCTTCAAAACTCACAATTAAGAAAATCAATCTAAGAAGAGCCCCTAAAAGTGAGAAATGAAAACCGCCAATTTCCTTACCACTAACGAGAAAGAGAACAAAACGAACATTATGCAAGAAATCCATTTTAAACAAAAGTACAAGATTTTGCATCATGGATCTTCTCAAATCAACTAGACAAATTAAAAACATCATTACAGAAACGACCGAAAATGAAAATGCAACAACTAACCTGGCTTGTAGAATACAGACAGACCAAAATCGGTGGCCTTGAGCTTGGCGTCTTCATCCGGGGTGTCAAACAAGAAATTCTCAGGCTTGAGATCTCTATGCATGACCCCAAGAGAATGACAAGCCTCAACAACGCCAACAATGGTCTTGATCAATTTCACAGCCTCTCTCTCACTGTAATGCCCCTTGGCGACAATCCTGTCAAAAAGCTCACCACCGGCGCAGAGCTCCATGACCAGGTGCACGAACACAGAATCCTCGTAGGTGCCCTTGATCTGCACGACATTGGGGTGCTCGGAAAGGTGGTGCATGATCTGAATCTCCCTCCACACGTCCTCGTAATCCTCGCGGCAAACGAGCTTGCGCTTGGGAATGGACTTGCAGGCGTATTGGGCATTGGTAAGCTTGTGGGTACATAGATACGTGGTGCCGAATTGACCCTGACCCAATTTCTTGCCGAGGAGATAATGGTCTCGCAATCTCGGGGTCTGGTACGGAAGAACTGAATTGGCGGGTTTCGAGGAATGAGAACCCGTGGTTTGCTTCTTCATGGCAAAATCTCAGCTGGGATCGATCTGTAAGTGAAATGGATTTCTTTTTCCTCTTTGTTTTTACTCTATACCTCTTCTTCGCGAGCTTGGGTGGCTGAAGGATTAAGGAAGGGAGAAAGAAAGGGGGGATATTTCTGGTTTCGCAAAAGGTAGATGATGATTGATGATGTATTTTTAGGAAGGGAAAATGAAGGGCCCTGATCGGACGGGAAATGAGGAGGAGCATGGGATGGCCCACAACTGATTGGATTATCTAAGATTGACACGTCAGCGTGAATAATCGTTGTTGGAGGACTTGGATTGAGTGGGGTCCACGTCGTATTCCGCTTTTATTAAACTACTTTTTATTATTTCCTTCTTGCCGGTGGTCAAACCTCGTTTCCTGTAGAAAGTTGACTTTCTGTTTTGTGGTTGTTTGGCAATGAGGATAGCATTATTTCCCCATTGTTTTTGCAGATTAACTTTCTGTTATTTACTTAACAGATTCCAAAAAATGAGTGTACTAAGTTTTTAAGAGAACAATTCATAAAGTCCAAGAAAGCTTCATCGTTTTATTTTTATTTTAGGATTTTCAAGAGTTTATAAATTAAAAATTTATGAAGCTTGTATTTTTAAGTTGAGATTACCAAATTCTATTTAACATAAATAAGGATACAATTTAATTTGACTAAAAATAAAATCCTAGTTAAAGTCAATTTTGAATTAAAAATTAGTTAGATGGTTATTAATATAATTCTTAATAACATAGTTTAGTTTTCAATAAAATTTTTAATTAAATAATTAATATAAATTTTAAATAATCTTTTTTTAAAAAAATATTAGATAAATTTTTAATCCATTATGACTGACCTAACTAAAAATTATAATCATCATTTAATATTTTTTTGACCAAAAATATAATAAATTAGTTAAGATTTAAACTCTATTTGATCATTACATTTTTTATCAATATGTTAGTGAATTAAGTTAATGATTTTACTGAATCAACAATATAAATAAAGTCAAATTTTTATGATTTGATTTATTTTAAAATTATAAAAAAAAATACATTCCTAATTTTAGATTAATTGATTTAGGAGTCAAATAACTTTATAAGTAAATTTAAAATCTTATTATAGGAAATGAATGAGGATGAGACGCATGACAATTATTGGTGATATATATATAAATAGGCGATGGACGGAGTAAGAGAAGGTGGAATAAAATGATTATTAAATTTTTTTTTTTTCAAGTCATAAAACCGGACTGGTGCATAGAGTCAAAATGGGTTACTTTAAGGAAAATAAAAAATAAAAACAATAAATCCATTATTTTTAAACCAAGAAAACAATTTGTTTTTAAAATTTATTCACGAATTCAGATTAAATTTGCTTGCTTACTCAAAATCAGCAACCATGATGATCACAATATCTGTTTTCCTCTTCTGGAGGCCAAAGCCTCTAAACAAAAGGTCGTGCGTTTTAGACATAACCGAGCCTTGGCTCTAATCCAAGACAATAATAAATTTCAATAACGTAAGGTTTATTCCTCAATTTTCTAGGCTAACTTCTGCTTGAAAGGATACTACATTTCCTGCTTAATTTTTTGAGTTAAAACATAACGAGGCAAAAGCAAGTATAATAAGTATATATTCATACATTCACAATATTATTAAAGCACCCCCCATGAGTCAAACGTTTTCCATGTACACATTGAAAACCAACATTACGATATATATATATATAAGCCTTGACGAGGTTAAGCTTTTATTTCATCATCTACTGCAGCCTTCCTGGTCCAGAATGCAGCTGCAATGTCCTGCTCGGAACAACCTGAACTACGCCTGGTTGCTCTGCAATTCAAAGCAAACCAAGATCAGTATGTTTTGTGGCCTAATGTTTTTCATTTTGATAATCTAACTTGACAACCAAACAGACCAATTGAATTATACAAGTAGCGAAACAAATGTATCAGAGAGTGTCCTGTGGCAAGTTAGAACCTCATAGAATCGCAGAATATTGGCATTTTACAAACACAAATCCATCTATCTAAATTAGTGTTCTTCTTGTTAACATTTTAACCAAAAGTTCTTCGCAGCAATTAGTCCAGACAACTTGTTTGAGATGAAGGAAGATAGCTACCTCATGGCGCAAGATAATATTTTGTCCAACCATGCAGTAAAATAAATTGAATCCTCTTAGTTTAGAGGAAATTCCTTAGAAACTAAATAATAGGGTATTTGCAAAGAAAGAACCAGAAGCATATGTATCCACAAGGACCAAAGTACATATTCATCAACTGACCTACTTAGAAAGCACAGTTAAGCTTCAATCCAAAACTAATTGCTTTGGTACATAAAAATGCTTCTAGTTTTCATTTTCCAAATTTATATATTTATTTGCAGAACATATTAATTAGTTAATAATGAAAATGATGATGGAGGTTGAAAATTTAAAAGTATCATTTTTACTATTTTCTACAAATTTAATTTTAATGGTCTATTATTCCTTAAACAGACACCTCTTACATAATTTCATGAGTAAAGATATGCATAATCACATATGAACTTAGAAAATAAAAACTAAGAGACTATTTTTATGTACCAAATGAAGCATAAACTTCTATTAACTGTTCTTTTTTTTTTTATGAACTTCTACTAACTTTTCCTTTTTTGATGAACTTCTACAAACTGTTCTTTGTCTGGGCACATATAGCTGCATTCCCTCTTCAAAGTTATCTCTCAAACTTCAATTTTTTTTTGGGTAATCCATGCTTGTGGTAAATATGAGTTACCTCTTTCTTTTAAGAAAACACCCCCCACCTTTACCCCCCTCGCCCCCAACTACCACCACCACAAAATGCTTTCTTATTTTACAGATAACAAAAATGGAATCATATTGTTCTTTTGGAGACAAAGGGATCAGAAACTAGCTTTGGGATTAGGACTTTCAAACAATCATAAAGAACCACCATCACTTGACCTTGGGGCACCTCACCCTTACAGCCGAATTCTTTTTCCTTAGTAGGTGCTTGAAATAGTTAAGTTGAGCTTCATGAATATGATTATGAAAGCTTTTCTTTGAAGGTCATTTCTCCAGGTCCACTAGATAAGAAACGTTGGTTACTGGTATCATTTGGATATTTCCTAGAATTACTGTTCAGTTCTCCTTCGTTCGGATAAGAAGGCCTCTGTTTCGTAAACCTCACGCCATTCTTCCTCGAAGTATTGCATATCTTTTTGAGTGTTCAACGTGATAGAAAGAGACCACAGCATAATATTTAATAATGAATACATAAACACAGACAAAAAAAACCTACTATTTCATGCCCCAATGCTTCTCGACTAAAAAATTTCATTGTCTTCTCAAACATCAAGAGACCTTCTTATCTCAAAAATAAAATAAAAAGAATAGGCCCTAATCGCGATCGACTGAATAGGGAGATAAAAGGAAGTTCGAATATACAATATATATATATATATATATATATATATACACACACAGGGAGAGATAGAGGCACCATTTCACTTTCTTGCAGTTTTCATGTAATACAATAATCAAGAAGATCTAATCATATCCCGTAAATCCGAAACATATGAATTAACAGTTAAGCTTGTGACGCATAAAGCAAGAGTGGAACTAAAAAACACGCAGTCGAAGCAGGAATTGAAACTAAATAGGAATTAAATGCATTAAATTTTTTAGAAAATAAAGGCAACATACTCGAAATTTCAACGACTTGCTCGGGAGTGAGTTTGGCGGAGAATCCAGTCGCAGCATTCTTGTAGCTGTAAAGCAACGCCTCCCTCGCAGCCTCCTCACTATCAACACAAAAATCAAAACCAAAATTCATAAAACCCAACATCCAAGCCTAAAACCATCTTATTACATTAAATTTCGTTCAGAACTAAAATTTCCATTTCGATTTGGTAGGGGTTTTTATCTTTTCCCCCTGGATACAAGCAGCAGAGAGAGAGAGGGAGAGAGAGGGAGAGAGAGAGGAGTAAAAACCTGCCAAGGACGGCGGAGAGAACACGGATGTGGTAGTCCTCAGGCCGCTCGTCCTGGGGCTGCTCGGTATAAACGATCTGGATCGTTGCTTCGGATGAAGGAGATCCGGTTGATTCCGCCATGTTGATGAGAATCAGAAGAAATAAAAGTAGAGAAGATAAGGGATTGAGATTGCGTATGCGCATTATCGGATTCCTCTTCCTTTTTATAGATGGCAAACCCTGATGAGTCTTTCTTCTATATATAATTTTCTTAGCGACCAAGTTGACAGACTTTTTTTTATTTTATTTAAAATAAATAAAAAAAAAACCTCGGTTTTTGCGTCTTCAACATTATAGGTTTTTCATTTTCCTAAATCAAGGGACGGAATAGGGTTTGTCTTATTTTGTTAAGACGGTTTTTTGACGAGACTGTAAAATTTTTCCAGCCTGTTTCTTTAATGAAATTTTCTTTTTTAAGAAAAAACAAAAAACAAATTATTATAACCAACTACTTTTAGATGAGATAATAAACATATATTACCTTCTAATAAAAAATTATTATTTTAAAAGATAAGCTCCAACTTCTCATTTGATTTTATCAAGTATGATAATCTTTTTATAACATTTAGTATCTCGGACTTCGATTTATCTTTTTATTTTAGACTATTAATTTTTTAAATAATATATCGAGTGTATAAATTTTTAGATATATATACGAGGAGGGAATAGAATATTTAGTATCTACAGCGGTATATATATATATATATATAAACACATACAAGGATTATTAGGTGACAAAATTAAGGTGGGATGGTATAAGGATCAGATTCCTTGATATTTCAGTATGGATTTTGTTTTAATCTAACTTTTCTGACCACGATGTCCATAAGGAGTGCATGGCATGTAACTCACTTAAATCACAAGACTTTGAGGGATGTCTTATAAAGCTCCCTCAGCTTCCCAGCATCTAAAAACCTGTTGGATATGGGAGTTGATTGTATCATGGACGAATTTTTGTTGGTACCAGCAGAAAATGACATGCTCAGCATTTTCTTCAAAACCATCTGCAACTGACTCCAAACTTTGGCATATAGCTCGGGATAGTCGGTCCTCAAGGAATCTGAAACTGTTTCTGATACATACCGTCCTTCGAGTATGCGAGATAAAGCTGATTCCAGCATATGAAAAAGAAACAATTTGTCGGTAGCTCCCAATACGAAGTGATTAGCTGAAAATAGCTTTACGGTGTCTACTTGTATTTTAAAACAGTTGGAACACAATGCAAGAATAGTCTATGGATGCAGACTATAAGTTGCCTGCAAGTTCTGATTTTCAAAGCATCAAATCAGAGTCAATAAAGTTACAAATCCTGGATCATCATTAGACTAGAGAATAAGATGTTCAGAATGTATAAAGATCATTCACTATCAACAAAAATAGATCATAATAAACCATTATTATTTAAAAACACAGAGTTCGTGGCGTATTTAGTCTTTGTCTGCGTAATATCCTTTAGTTATTGTCTTATCTAACCTATTATATTCTATTTTTTCTATCTATGTTTTTTCACCTTGATATATAGTTTTCCTTTATCAGCCTCTATTATTCTGTTTTCTCACCTTATTCCCCTAATTTCTGAACTATCCAGAAGAAGTTAGTTTTAAACCCTACTTGTCCTCTACTATAAGTCTGAGAAAACATACAGTGGTTGGTTGTAAAGAATGGACAGTCTGAATGAAAAAGCTGATCTCTCCAGCAGAATGGTAAGGTACATTGTGGGATGAGGTTTGGGGCTATAGAAGTTTGCGGCTTTTTGCCAGTTCCTCTCTGCTAAGGATGCATATTGCTTAACCCTCTGAAAATTAGCGTTCTGCCTTTAAGATCTTATTCCAGAAACTTCAAACGACAATCTTTTTGGTAGCAGGCTAGTTGAAAGTAAGCATAAGCAGCCTCCTGTTTCTGCAGTTCCCCATGCGATTCATACAAACATAAGGCCTCCCTAACGGCATCATTGGCTGATATCTCATGTTTTCGCAATTCCTTCCTGTCTTTTATGTCACACGAAGTAGATATATCTTACAAAGCTCCATTTTCACAGACTTTAGCAGTTGTATCTTCTTTTGCCAAAAGCAAGCCCAGTCTCATATATGTATGAGCAAGCTGCGTAAATACTTCACTCCTTAAGCTGTTCGACACAGAACCAGCTACATCTGTGACAGCTCTCAGTTCTGACTTAGCAGCCCCATAATACCTTTGTGATTCACTATACTCTCATTTTGCTGTCTCTAGAGCCTTTTTATATGCATTTTCGAAAATAGTATGTATTTTGAGACTGCCAATCTTTGAGACCATCTCTTCGGTCTGTGCTCAACGGTCATGTCCTAAGTTATAGTTACTTAATATTACATCGGCATGGTCAGATACTTCTTTGAATGCATTTATAGCATTTATGAAAGCAACTTCAACTTTGTTCAATTCTTTTATTTCAAGCCTGTTTCGACCCAGCTCATTGCAAACCCATCCTTTCTTCATAATTACATATGGTATTTCAGTCGAACTGCTTGGAAACCCACCAAATGCTTTTCTAGCTTCCTCATAACATATTAAAGCAGCAGAGAGATTATGTTCTGCATCTCCTGCTACAGGACCCTCAAGGTACTTGAATATCCCACCATTTTTCTTTTTCAGTGTTCTTTTCGATGTAATTTCAGTCTCTGATGTTTCAAGAGGTTTTGCGTTAGGAATTTCAAAATTCTCCACTCCCTTAGGACCAGCTGTGGTTGAAGAATGTACATCCATGATATATGCAACATTAAAAGAAGATTCAGCTGAAGTGTCCCCATGTTCATTGTGCTGCAGATGTTCATTATTAACATTGTGTCTACTATCTTCTAAGTTCCTCTCAAAAGGGTTAGGAACACTCTTAGAAAGCAATCTCTTACTGTGTTTCCTACTGTAAGCCATTGAGCATGTATGTCCGCTGCTACTGCTTACACTACTACCACTACTAGCCCTATCACTCTTGCAGCTACAGTTTACCAATGAACATGAACTACAGTTCTTATTACATTGAGCTAACTTCCTCCTGAGCCACCGGACCTCCTTTACAACCTGGAAGATATTCTTAACTCACTGATAGAAGTTTTCCTCTCTGCTTGTTTTGAGATATTTTTACCATTTATGATGTGGAACTTCACATAAATATCTTCCACCAGTGTCCAAGCTTTGGCCCAGAAGAAGTAAGTGGAGGAGAGTTGCTCCAAAGGAAGAGAATTATCCCGGTAGCTAGAGTTTAAATCCTTGAAATCATCAATCAATGGCTTTGTGTTTTCTTTTCTATCATTGAATTTTGCCTGGGCGCTAGGGAACTTGATCATGGAGGAAATAAACTTTGAATCTTCAAGTTTCTGAGGCATTGATCCATAAACAGGACATGCTAATTCTATAATCTTCAGAGCTTGATGCAACTGTCGATCCTCCTTATAAGCTTGCCCAAGTGCCAAATAAGATTCTCCAAGCAGAAGAACAAGTTTCCACATTTTATGATCCAATTTTGAAGTTGGAAGCCACTCCCAAATATCACAAACCTCAATACATTCAGCATCAACACATGCACAAACACAAAAAATTTACAGATGAAGGGATTATATCATGAACTGAAGACTTCTGATCAATCACTTCCAGTTCAGACATTTGTAACTGTCAGCATCCATCTCAGAGACTTTATAGCTTGAGACACGTGATGTACAACTGCAAGCTTAGAGGAGATTGGATTAGTGACAGTTTGAACCACATGTGAAGGTGAGGGTGACATTGTAGACACTGCAAAATTTTGATCATCACTAGACTTTGACTTATCACTTTCTAGATTTCTTGATTCCGGGTTGCCTAAGGGTACCAATTTGCTGGGTGGCAATAAGTTTGCTTCCAGAGTCATATTTACAGGAACTACTGATGCAGAATCAGGCAAAGAGGCCCTGTGTTTACCTAACTTGCCCTCAGCAACTGGAGAAGATACTATTTTGTGATCAAGTGACTCATTTAAACTACTACAGGGGTCCAGGTTCTCTTCTTTTGCATTGGTAACTGTGGCTTCGCATTCTACTGGAAAAGATTCAGATATTAGGCCCAGCACTTCATCATAATTTAAGATAAGTCTCGCAAATTGTTCGTGAGCAAATGCACGCACAACCTATCCAACATAATGCTAGGAGTGAGTATTCAAATCCTTCATCAGAAATGAATAAATGGCATAAGTGGAGAATCATATATCAAAGATCATGCTAGAAACATTGATACCAGATGATCAGGCTAATCTAGAAAATCTGAACATTTTCTGAAGAACCTAGCACACTTCGCCCTATCCTTAGGTGCCTGCACCATAACATCTACAATCAGCTCTTATAATCATAGACTTATAAACACAGTATAAAAGTGATCAAATGGGCTCCACACCATTGAAAGCGAAAGCCTATGAGCAATCCGATACAGTAGAGTCCCCAATGAAAGCAGGGAGTCAGTTCGCCCTCTATGAATAATGGAAGGTAAGTGGCTAGGGCAATCATTACAATCGCTGGAGCTAGGAATAACTGAAAGATCAAACAGTTGAATTACATCCTCACCAGCACTTTTATACAGCTGTAAAATGTACATAATATAGCAGAAATTATTAGAATCACTGAAGGAGATTTTTAGGCAAAATAGACTAATTCCTGCTGTTTTTGGAAAGAATGTAGAAGATAATCATACCCAATAAGCACCGGGATCCTGCTTGCAATTTTCTTGAAGGAACCTTAAAACAGAAAGGCCATTTTGCTGAACAACATGTGGATGAAATGCAGGAGTGCCATCCTCACAGATTCCTTTTAACAGAAATATATCTTCTGTTTTCAGCAACTCATAACCCCGAACAATCCCATTCTCATGATAGCAGATTGCCAACTCAGGTACACTGGCCATGACATTATCAAGCCAAGCTTCAAGCCAAGTCAATGGAGTGACCTGAAGGAAAAAAAGATCAATACGGTTGACAATTAAAAACATAAAAGATTTCATGAACACAAATTCAAGATTTTTGGTAATTGATGCAACCTGTCGTGTAACATCCTGCAAATGCAGGCTTACAGCTACATATTTTTCATTACTGAACAGAAGCAAGTCACTGCCTAGGAGCATCCAGAAATTTTGAAACTGCCAAAACATAACCCTCAAGAAACCACTGTTGCCAACTCTTCTATGCTTGTCAGATTCCTGCATTGAGGACCTGGGCTTTTCTCCGACATGTGAAGCTTTTTTGACGGGATCATGTCCCTTGTTTCTTTTATTTTTCTTACTTTCCCAGATGAAATTATCTTGTTTGACCTGTGAATAATCTGAATAATGGTTGAATCCATCACTTCTAGCAACATCATCACTCTGTCCCACAAAATCATATGCATCTCTCCTAGGAACGATAAATGAGGTTGACTGCCTATCAGTTGGAGGATTGGTGGACAATCACAAGCTTCCATCCTAACTGAGTGCATCGCAAAATCCAAAAACAAAGATTGATCTGTGCATTTTGATTGGTTCTTATGCCTCCTAACCAACTTCTCTCCCTCTTCCACATCAGGCCTACGCTATCACCAGAAATTTGTGATGTTAAAACTCTGAGGAAAGGAAGGAAAAAAAAGCAGCAGCAGCAGCAGCAAGCAAAAACAAACCCTGTATTCAAGACAGAGTCTACCCAACATGCTGAACGACAATTGATAATTGAGCCTTGGAATATGGTATTTTAAAGATTTGCTTGAGAATATCAGCTGGAGCAATCACATCTACATCATCTCCATATTCCACCAAACCAGAAATAGCAAGGGCCTCACATTTCTTATTAAGATTTGACGCAATGGCACCGTCTTCCCAACTTATGTCTGCCAGGATAGAATACAAAAGTATACCAGCTAGTTTAGGACTACAAGAAATGAGAAAACAACGGGAAATTTGGAATCTCTATTAAACTTCTTCCACCCCTTCAGAAAATCTAGTAGCATTTGCATTTTCAGTATTTAATCAATTTATCACCATATTTAAAGCATCAAATATCACAGAGATTGTTTCAAATTCATCCATAAAAATTGTGAATTTATATACAAGTCATTTCCAAATTTCTATAAAGACAGCCTTGCTCTCAACATGCAGAGTGCAAACAAGAAAGACCTCACTGTAGAAGAAGAAGAAGAAGAATCGATTGGCAGAAGCACTAAAAAGAGCACCCAAAAAAGACCTCTCTCAAGAGCACAATCTGGAACCTCATGACCCTAAGAAAACCCTGTGAACAGCAGGCCCTGTCCACCCAGTTGCATCCATAGAAACCAAATTGGCCGCTGAATATTCAAAGAAACGCTTCAGAAAAAGGTAGAAGAGAATCATACAAAACACTCCATAGCTGAGGAAAACGATAAGAAAGAATCAGATGAGGATATGAATTTTTTTTTTTTTTGGGAGGGGAAGGATAGTGTACCCAGAGCCAAGATCATTGAAAAAATCTATAATTTGCAAAAGGTATGATAGAGGTAAAAAGCATGAAGACAGTGAGAAGGAACGTCACTAATAACAATTTGGTAGCCAAAGCAAAAAGCCTCTGGGCAACTGAGGTAGAGATTGACCTCATCGAGTTGGTTATTGCTTTTATGTAGCCTAAATTACTACAAAACAATGTCTGGAAAGTACTTACAAAAGGTCATTGGATGACATTTGGTCATCACCTACACATCCAGTGATGGAGACCAAACTTCCAACAGAAGTTTGCAAGAACATCAACCTAGGTGGTTTGGGCTCAGCAATCATTCCTTCCAAGTGAGGACAAAAACGATCTCCTCATAACAGTAGCCTGAATAATTGGAAGACAGATTAAGATTGAAAACACCACATTAGACGGACTTAAAGCCAGTTAGCACACTTTTTGTGAAGTAAATCTACTTGAGTTAGTGGCCTTGAAAATCCAGGAACAAAATGATTCTTAAAGTCGACTAAGAAGGCCTAAAATCCTTCTGTTTCCAACATGGCTGGATCAATCCTCAAACAAACAAAAAGGAAACAGCTTCGAAATTCTTGGCAGAGTAGCTAGAATAAGAGCAGGGGAAATCCACACAAACGAGTTCAGAACCTCTCAATTGGAAGTATTAGTAAAGAGGTCAATGACACAATCATCTAAACTCACATCCGGTCTGATGAAACTGTACATATCATGAATCCACTGAAACTGGAGATTGCATTTCACATGTTTCCACCAAGTCTGGTGTCAACATGTTAATGCTTAAGATTGATAAGCAAGCTGGCAAAAGATTGGAACTTATTATACTGAAGAAAGCAGTAATACCCCTATTCCAATTTAAAGAAGCCCACAAGCCCACACCCAAAAAAGAAAAAAAAAACCAGCAAAGTATCCTTAATATGGGCGAGTGAAAATCCAACCTCTCTTTGTTATTTTTTCTAGTTTGATTCTCACCTGAACCATTACTTGTTAAAGAACTGCAAAACCAAGCTTCAACAATCAGCGTAGTAAGGTTGTATAACAAAATTAACACAAACAAATAATGAGTTAAGCTAAGAACATAGCTGGCTTTAATGGAAGCATAACAATGAAGAAAAATATGCCAACGGTATAGTTGAAAACTTGGGTAGAACACAGCACACAAGAAAGATTTATTTCTGTGATTACTTGAAGGATAAAAGCTTGTGATCAAACTTGATATGATTTGCCTAACAGACAATGGGAAATGTGCAGTTTCAGCCTCATAAGCTGAATTGACCTTCTGAATTCTTGTTTTTTATATTACAATTCTTAGGATGTACTGGTTACCACACAGTAATCAGTCAATCGCATAAGGGTTAAAACTGCCATTTGGCTCCGGAATTACACCTCTCAACGGTACAAGGGTACCCATTACGTATCCCCATTCTTCACCTAGAGGACGATGCCTGTCAAGGAGATATACTGATATGTGAAAAAAAAAAAATGTGGTAGTTGGTTTACTTGGTTAGCTACAAGCCAAAGATTACAAACCATTCTGCAAAAGAATATGCTTTAGATGAAAAAATAATTATATCAACTTTGTCTCTGTAACCACTCTCTCCGTAAATTCGTTTCTTTCTCATCTCCCACCATTATCATTTTCTCTAACATCAGAATACTCGAGGAAAAATGCATGCCGCGGAGAAAGTAAGCCAAATAAATCCAGCCAACATGCTAATTTATGAACAGCATATGCAGTTCCTGCACACAACAATATCTCTGTAGTAACTGGATGTAAAGAAAAAAAAAAAGAAAAATTCTAGCATGTAGGTATATATGTGTATATAGAGATAGTTAGAGTGAAACGGTACCGTTTAGAGGAGAGGAGGAGGAAACGGCATCGTTTGGAGAAGAGGAAGAGGAAACGACGTTATTTGGAGGAAACGGTATCATTTGGTGACAAGATGGAGAAAACGCCGTCGTTTGGAGAAGAGGAAGAGGAAACGACATCGTTTAGAGAAGAATGAGTGGACGGTTGGGATGAGGTGAGATGGACGGGTAGGATGGGAAGTAGGTGGGGTATAAATAGGAGACGGGAAGGAAAAAAAAAAGGAAAAAAGGAAAAGAAAAACAAGAGGAAAGGAAAGAAAGAAAACAGAGAAGAGAGATCGGGTGGAAGAGAAGATGAGAAGAGAGAGAGAGAGAGAGAGAAGAGTTGGAGCTGAGAGGAACGAGAAGAGAGAGAGGAGGAGAAAGAGGACAGTGACGGAGCGAGCCCCGGGAGGAAGGAAGATGGAGATTGGAGGTACGGTAAACTTTAAGTTACATGCGTAGGTTGATGTAGATTTGAAATTTTGACCGTAGGTGGAGGATTTGTGTGAGTAAAAGTGGAGGTGTATGGAGGAGGCCGCGGGAGGAGAGAGAAGAAGGAATGTGGCGTGTGAGTGAGGTCCGTGAGGGAGAGGAGATGTTGTGTGAGTATGAGCGGGAGCATATGGAGGAGGCCGCGGGAGGAGAGAAAAGAAGGAGTGCGGTGTGTGAGTGAGGTTCATGAGAGGGAGGAGATGTTGTGTGAGTATGAATGGAGGTTTATGGAGGGGGCTACGGGAGGAGAGAGAGGAAGGGACCGGTGTGTGAGTGAGGTCTGTGTGAGAGAGAAGATTTTGTGTGAGTATGAATGGAAGTATAGGGAGGAGTTCGCAGAATGAGAGAGAAGAAGGAATGCGGTGTGTGAGTGAGGTCCGTGAGAGAGAGGTGATTTTGTGATTGTGAGTGGGGTATTTAGAGTAGGCCGTGGAAGGAGAGAGAAGAAGGGATTCGATGAGTGAGGTGGATTTGTGTAAGAGAAGAAGTGGTGTGTGGTTGTGAGTAGAGGTAGGCAGGGAATGATGGAGTGTGTGTATGCTGAAAATTAGGGAGGAGGAAAGGGAGGCTTGTAGAGCATGGGTGTGAGGTGTCGGGATAAATGTGTGTGGGTGTAGCTGTGCAGTGTGAGGGGGTGAGTGGTGTAGCTGTGTAGTATGAGGGTGTGAGTTGTATATAGGTTGGTATAACTGCTGTAAATTTTGTAGTTGGCAAGGGAACATTACTGGTGTGTGTGTGTTAAGTGTTAGTGTGTGTCTTATGGGGAGATGCGTGTTGTAACGGCCCCGAAAATTAATAAAGAAAATGTATATAAAGAATATAAGTGCGGAAACGAAATAAAAAGTTCTGATTAATATCCCTTACACAATAACTTAAACGTACTAATAATACCGAAAATAAGTCATCTAAAGGAAAATACTGGAAATGAAAGACTATAAAAGAAACTAATAAATATCTAGGTATCTACTCGTCGTCTTCTTGTAGATTGGGCTCGGGAACCAAGTCCTCGTGATCTGAAATGGTTAAGTAAGGAATGAGCTACACTAGCCCAATAAAGACATCACACTATATCACTGTCACAGAAGTAAATGTTGGTAGAAAACCAAAAACAACCAATGGAGCACAAGTTTCAAGTAAATTTATTTATCAATAATCAAACCATTTACCGTCCACTTACCTCAGTGGGATTTATAAAAACGATCCATGAAAATAATAATATCATAAGTATCATGAATTCATACATAATCTGTATCATAGTACATGTCATACTTTTATATTTCAATCATCAAACAACAGTTACCCCTTTTTTATCAGTCTACCAGTATCCATAGGGATCCATAGGGGTCCCTGCTATACGTGAATTATTCCTTTAATAAACTTAATTCCCAGGGCCGTCCCTTTACCCCGTCCGGTATGGGCCCCAAATAATAAAATCTCAATACCCCGTCCGGTATGAGGGTGAAGCGGGTCGTCCTCATACCCCGTCCGGTATGAGCGCCAAAACATTGAAAGTCTCCATACCCCGTCCGGTATGAGATAACGTTCCCAGTATTGTTCTCTATAGACCCGTTCCATCCCCCATCTCCCAAGATATCTAGTGAAGCTGTCAACTTATCAATTTATCAATTCACATATATTTTCTATTTTTTCTTTAGTTTTCCGTTTCCCACATAAACATGAATACTTAAACAAGTAACGAGTATCCAATAAGGCAAGCATATCATCGAATTAACAAAATCAGGCCATAATGAAGTAAACAGTGATTCATGCATTCAAAACCATAGAATAAATAAATCAGATACCATACTGCATTTAGACTGTAAAATAAATTAAACAAGAACTAACAGAGAAATATATCCAGTTCGGCCTCCATTAGCAACCGTAATAATTATGTATATCTATTTAATTCATACAAATACAGTTTTATCATTTATTAGACTTTAACCCCGTGATAGGAAATAGGGTGAGGGGTCCTTACCTGATTCGAAGTTAAAAATCGAATTTTTTTCACTGCGCCTACGGGCAGTCTTTGGGTTCCTTGAATTTTTTCTCGGGAACTGAAACGCGCTTACGGTACCTACACATATTTCAAATAACTCAAAAATCAGACCCGAGGCCTATTCGGCAAATTTTAAAATTTTAGACGATGGCTCCGCCGTGCTCCAGCGACTACACCGTCGCTCACAGTGGCGATCCGCCTCGGGTTGGCCATTTTCGATCGAATTCAGCCAAACTTGCATTGGTTATTGTGAGAAAACACCCCTAGGGCCCTCGATGGGCCGAAAAAACACCAAAAACCGAAACTTACCGGCGGCGGGACTCTCCGGTGCGGCGGCTCCTCTGGCTCGAGTCGTGATTTGGTGTTTTCCTCTGGTTAACCTGTAGAGAAAGGAACAGTGGTCATAATGGTGTAAAAATTACATCGAACGGGAATCGGAAAGGGCCTCATCGGAGGCAAAAATCGAAAAAATCCGCAGCGGCACCGTTAGGCTTCGGCGGTGTTTTTCGGCCAATCGGTTGGTGTTTTGGCTCCGATTTGGCCATATGTGGGTTTAGAATCGAATTCTGAGCTAATGGGAGAATTTTTACCTCGTTTGGCTGCCGGAAAGTGCTCCGGTGCGGCAGCGGGTGGTGATGAGTGGCGACGGTCGGCTCCCCGGTGACTAGGCTATCTTCTTCGGTGAGGACTCTGACGACTAAGGTTAGGGTTTGGGTGTGGATGAGATTATTTATAACCTTTTGTTTTTAATCTGAGCTGTCCATTGCGATTTAATCTGAACCGTCCGATCGCGATTAAAAAGAAAATAAATTTGGATCGTTCATCGCGATGCAATCTGGACCGTCCGTACGCGATTCAATCTGGGACGTCCGTGAGGGTGCAATTTGGGTCATCCATGCTCGCGGAAAAGGATTTTAGTCGTTCGATCGCGCGCACGCAAACCACCCACGTGGCTCCTTTCCGTGTGGCCTCCCGCGTCAGTGTCTCTGCCACGCGGCACGTTCTGGTTGGCCGAGACTGCTGACCGAGCAGTTGACATGACGTAATTTTTTTAAATTATGTTTTGACCTCCGGTTTTCAAATTTTCTTTCAAAAATACCCCCATAACCCAAATTTTCACCCATTTTTTCCAAAATTACTTTCAATTAAATCCCTAAAATAATTTTGCCCCTTTTTATTATTATTATTTCTATTTAATTAAATTAAAATAAAATTAAAACCATATAAAAATTCATATATTCACATATAAATTACAAAAAAATCAAAATAAAATAATAATAATAATTTGGGATGTTACACGTGTAGTTTCGGTATATAGGTTAAAAGTATAGGAGAGTTTTAGGACAAGGTGGTAGAGTGAGAACGGGATGATATTGTTTTTTAGTTGGTAGCATTGGGGGACGCCG